TCTGCTCATTACCCTTTTAAGAGCCTTTTGCCAACCCCTGAGCCAGTTTATGGCCATCTTCACTGGATGCTGAAGGGACTACAAAACCTTGAGCATTTTGCGACTCATAAATTAGTCTTCCTTCTTGGTTTGGTTAAGGCTATGAATTGGTACGGCTTAGGAAATTGAGTTCACGAAAGCTCAGACTGTTAGCACATTGCCACTTTTATGAAATTACGTACGAAGACCAATGTGAATATGCAAAAACCGAACAGGACAGACAGAAATAATTGAACTATTGGGTAGCCAATCCCTCAAATAGTTGGTTGGCCGATTGATCTGAATAAACTGACTCGTTTATGAGAAGCTCGGTGATTACCTCAACTTTCCTTGTTACAATAGCCATTGCCCCAGGATCCAAGTTGCTAGCAGAAAGCACTTCGGACAGTTGGACCTCCTTTTTCTCCATCGACTCGGTCATCGCAATAAGACGGCGCTCCAGAAGAAGATTCTTTAGTCCCGTCTTCGCCTGCACTTGATGAATCGATGAGACAAACTTTTCGTAGAGCTCGTCACGTTCTGCTTCGATCTGTTTGAAGAAAAGAATAACCAATCTCATGATTGACACAATGAGTATTTGTATCATACTATTGAGTTAGAGTCTGGACAGTCTTCCAGGATGGTCAAGGTACTTGCGAACTTTCCCTATCATTTAAATACACTTCGCCTCTTAGGAAATATTTTACTTTTCACTTTTAAGTGGGGTTCCGAGGGTAAAAATACATCAGATATATGAGATACCCTCACCCTATTATGTTTAAGGTGATGAAGAACTGTTAGTAGAATTTTCCCACAATGGTATGAGTACACCTTATGCTTCTATTGAATTTCGCATAGCATTGCTTTCCTAAAGGTGTTCGCATCCAGGGTGGACAACTATTTCGACCTTGCCTCGGTCTCATTAGCACACCCAGCGGGACTCGAAGAATGAAAGTGCAGCCACTACGCCACATTGTCACGAGTTCCCTCGGGTCATAGGGAAGATTTTAAATTTAAGGATGGCCAGGCATTTTGTTGCGATTGTCGATGAAGCAAAGTTATATTTGCTATAGCAATCGATAACACTACTTATTTTTCGTTTATAAGTAGGACCTCGAGACTATTACTGTCATCACCTTGAATCAAATAAGGATAACATGTCTCATATATCTGAGTTACTTGTAGTCTCGAGATCCTACTAATAAACGAAAAATAGGCAATGTAATTGATTGCCACAGCAAATAGGATTTTGCTTCGTTGACAATCCCACCACAGAATGTGATATTGGAAAATGCCTGGCCTTCATTGAAATTCATATCTGTCCTGTGACCCAAAGGCACTCGTAGCAATATGGAGTTTATATTAACGTGTAGAGATTATTTTCTGCTCTGTATTGGTTTCAGTCCCGTTGGGTGTGCTAATGACACCGAGGCGAGGTTGGAAAGCAATGCTATGTGAAATTCAATAGAAACATAAGGTCTATTCATGTCATTGTGAGAAAATTTTACTAACTCTCCTTCATCACCTTAAGCATAATAGGATGAACAGATCTCATATATTATCTTACTTTCACTAATTTTCCATAAAAATACGGGCGAAAACACTAGGTTAGTAATAAATCAATCAAAATTATTAGTATCACTTGTTATAAGAGCTGAGATATTGGGCCTCAAGTACTAGTACATATAGCTTGGTGAAGAAAAGAGGGTGCAGCGAAATCCATTATAAAATGTAACGTATTTTTATATTTATTTTTGGTGAGTCTGGAGAATTTATCAACCTACTGCATACCCTCATTTTAAGAGAAGAGCACGATTCAGCCACAATAATCCTTACAAATAAAGATCCCTACATCTGCATTATTGGATTGATATAGTCGGGAGGCTGACTTTAGCACAACTGGTCTTCCCTTTTCTTCACCGGACTTGTCACAAAATACTACCCTCGCCTCAAGTTCACACGAAATCGCTCTTATTCGAGGAGGGGAGAAATAGTCAAATATCGTCCTTGTTATTTGCTTTTATGTCGGTAGAGTATAATCTCAGTGTAATGAGATGTTACCACATTTAGTTTCAAGTAATTTATTTTTAAAAAATACAGACTGGCTTTTTATAGAGTGTATTTAGAACCAAGTCATCTTAGATCGCTGAAGATAATTTAAGGACTGAGAGTTAAATTTTCTCATACTTAGGCCTAATGAGGCTCTTCAAGTTCACTTAACCTTGCTTTCCAACGGGTTTCGAGACTAGTATTAATAAATTAATAATAAAACTCAACTATTAATCAGTAAGTCACTTTTATTGTTCTACGGTTAATAAGCTCTTTCTGCATTGGGATGAGTTCAATTTACGAATTTATTCCACGAAACTTTTGATGCAAAATTAAAGTTTAAATTACTAACCATCTTAAATTTCTGTTCCAGAATTTCATGTTCCCAATCCCTATGTTTGATGTCCTTGTGAGCTATCTTCAGTAAGGATTTTGTTTGCTGAAGAAGAAAAGGGCAAAAGCAGGAATAATAAGCAAAATGTTGAATGCATAGTGAAAATATGACAGTCAAGTAGGCCCAAGCACTCCATAATTGTATTCTACTAACAGATTCTATAAACCATTTAAGTAAATGCAAAACTTGCCCAGTAATCCAAGTGAAGCTTGCACGAGTGGTAGTTTGAGAAATCCAAAATATCTATTATACTAGGTGGATATTTGGAAAGTACACTCAATAATGATGGTTTAATTCAACTACGATCATGAGGTATGCATTTGGGTCATTGGTAACATCACTAGTAACCTTCGATTCAGTTCTATCCTCCACCTCGCAAACATATGACATATCTTTCATGGGGATGGTTTCGCTTCAACTTTTTAATATATCCTTAGAAGACAGGAGTTTCAAAAACGTGACCATGAGCGTGAGTGTGATAGAATTTGCATTCATTTCAAGTTAACAAAATGGCTGACCCCATCACAGGGTAGTAACTCCGTGTTACTAAAAAGGATACTCCCAAGCAGACTTATAATAACGTAGTAGGAGAGAACTTCATCTCTTGTGAAAGTGCATAAAGAGGAAATTCGAAGGTCGATCTCACCAGAAGAAGACAGCCGATTCATCTGGTACTCAAACCGTTTAGCATTAATATGACGTTCAGGTTAATGTCGTATACGAGAAATCCTCCCTCGCTCAGGATGAAACTGGGCTTTGCTTCCGTCCATTATATAACGGATATCATAAGATCTCGAACTGATTCTTGTAAAAGTATCAAGTTAACACTTGGGTAAGAAGACCATCTCATCTCTTATATAGACTCATGACTAAAACCGAAAATGAATAGGCATAAAAATGCTTGTGTGTGTGTGTTTGTGTGTGTTAACGTCTATACGCAATACCGAACTTAAATCAGAGTGATCAAAAAAACTGCTATTATGCTCTCCTAATCAAGGCCCTGACCGAGACTACGTAAGTCAGTAAACAAGTAGGGTTGAGATAATGAGATATGAGCTTGTAGGCATGTAAGTCAAGTTACGAAAACACTTGTCCTAACCTCTCAGTCTAGTTTCATTAAGGTTTAAGTGCACAAGGAAAGGCATGATTGGTGTTACGTAATCTCGTACGCCTGGTTTGGTTAATGAGCTCAAGCTAACATGTTGGACGAGTGTGAGTGAAATTAGAATTATTACGGAGCAGAAAAGTTGAATCGTCTTCCTTTGAACGGCGACTCAACAACTTCTCTCTTCTTCAATCTATCTACCATGCATAAGTAGTTCTTATACAATCATCCACCACCATTACTCAGATTCAACGTATTCCCTAATTTATTTATTTCCACAGCCTCTGTGAACTTGCTTTAACAGCCGACGTGCCATAATCAGAAAAAAGCTACCCGTTTGAGACCTTTCTATCTCATGGCCTGCGTGTTCTGCCACTTTTGACCATTGGATCCAGCTCCAGTTACAAGCATTTTTGTGTTCCCCCAAGCTTTTTCGAAGAGTCCGGCATCTCTCACCAGCACTAGGTCATCATAGTTGGAACACATTCTTGTAAAAGTCTCATGTCCACACTAGGTCAAGAAGATTTTCTGGCTCCATTTTACCTCTTATCTGGATCCAATTAAGCAAAAGAAAATTTATAGGCAAAAATAGATGAGAAATGGTTTGGCTAATTATCTTTCGTATTGGTCCTGCTAATTTT